CACAGTTAGAAGATATCTCAAGAACCCTTAAGTTTTTGGAAACACAAACACTGTAGCAAAGTACACATAGTACGTATCAAATCTCTTTGATGCACAGCAAATGTCTGTGGGTTTTAGAATCCACACAGGTGCACAATATAGCAAAGTGGTTTGATCCTTGGGTTATTAACTCTTTTAACACCTGGACTTCAAGAGAACAAGCTCAGCACATGGTGGACTTCAGCAGAACAACTCCCATTGCTTTGTTTCTCTCTCTCCTGCTCTCCATATTCAGAAGCAAAGCGTGGAGAGGAAGGGTTCCATCCAATCAGCTCTAACCTACTGCTTTTTCCTCTCTGTACCAGCAGTCTTTTGTGCAGGCATATGCAATGAAGGAGATCTACCTGGTACAAAGAACTAGTGTTATAAATTTAGCTATTTTTTTGTCTATAAATTTGAGTATAATGACCAACAATGCACTGAATTAAAAAGAATCCTTTTTTTTTTTTTTTACTTTTTAAGATTTGGATATCTGTCCATTATTTAACTTCATATAAAACCTTTATTTTAAATGGAAACAGGAAGAATATGAGGGGAACATTAAAACAAGAAAAATCTACAAACCCCAGAACATTACTAGAAAGTGTAAGTTTTGCATAAACATCCAGAAACACAAACATCTAAATCTAACATCTGTTTCACTCAAAGCAGAATGTGAAAAGAATGGTGAGGGACCGAGGGGACAATGGAAATCGTTAGGGAACTCTAATGTTAGCTGTTCTGCAGACCTAAAGTGTATTTCCCCTAAATAATTCCAAATAGACTTGCTTAGAAAACAGACTCAGATGTTGCATTATTTTTATTTCTTAAAATATAGCACACTTTATAGCATATAATGAATTTTTAAATACTTACTGATTTAGAATTCTGAGCAGCATTGAAATAGTCTTTAAAAGAGGATTAAAAAAAGAAAGAGTATCTACGGGCAGGCCTAGATTCTTCCTGCAGTGGGAATCCTGGGGAGAATCCCCTGCCCAAGAAAAAAATGACAAGAAAAAAGCTTCTGTCCCTACACTGTATGGTAGGAACACAGCACCGTTAGCAATGAGAAAATAGTCTCCTTCCCACTGACTTCAGGGGCAAGTATCTTTGGTGGGACCAGGACCAGATCCTGGACATTGTTTATTCTTAGACTGACCACCTAAACAAATAAATGAAAAGGACTTTATACCTGTGCATCTATTTGAACAGCTACTAGAACTGAGAAACCTCAGAGTGGGACAGAAAGGAAACTAGAGGGGACTCCCAGCTGCAGACCATGATGTCTCTGAAGAGGTGGTCTTGCTTTTTCTCCAGTATTGTTGTCAGCCCAACAACACTCATATATGTATTTAGGTAATAGTAAATGCATATCAGTTACCTCAACCTATATGTGTGTACATATTTTTTTCTTTTTCTTTTTTTTTTTGGTTTTGTTTTTTTGTTTGTTTCCCCATCCCCACCCTACTCCCTCGCCCAGTCTTCTTTCCTGATTCTCTACCTTTCCTGCCAGACACCAATCTTCTTCCTGTGTCTGAGCCACAACCTATGGCCATCCTGGTCAAAACTTACACACCAAGCATGCTCAGTCACTCCTAGTCTAAACTAAATTTTCTCCCTGTTCTAAGGTTTCAAACAGTCAGGTGAAAGAGAACAGGTAACTCAGCTTTCTACTGAGCAGCTTCAGAGGAACATAACCCATGAAAAAACAATACAAATGAAGAACAGCTTATGATGCCCAATTAATTTTCTCTGGAAACTCTTTATCAGGAAATCGTGACCCTTGATCTTTAGTCTTGGTTAACTTTCATGTGACATTTCCCCACATCTCTATCTTAAGTCAGTGGAAGCACCTCCTTCATGTAGTATAATACAACAACTGTAGAGAACACTCCAAAGTTATGTGACTTTCATACTACATCTCCATCTTATTGAAAGAGATGTTTGGGTAAGTTGCAAAAATTTCTTGTCATCCTTTGGAAATGAAAAACGATGGTATTACTTACTGCTCGAGGTTTTATAGACTTTTAATTTTTTTTTAATTAATTTGCAGTAAGTTTAACTAAAACAAAAGCAGAATGCAGTTCTAGGGGTTCTGGCAGTTTCAATTATTTTGGTTCCAGTTTAAATTATAAAATCATTTATGTTGAAAAAGACCTTTAAGATCATCGATGTAAGTGCCACACTTACATCTTCTAAATAGCTCCAGGGCAGGTTTTTCAAAGACTACCCTGGGCAACCTGTCCCAGTGCTTGATAACCCTTTTAGGAACTTCAGTCTCTCTCCCAGAACTAGCCCAGAGGGCTTGCTCCAGTTTATTCTTTGCTGTCTAGTATACTGAAGGAGTGTGAACGAAGAAGACAAAAGAGAGCTGTTGTGTTGCCTTGTCCTGCTGAGGTGCTCCATGTCAGCTGGAGACCTCCAGAAGGAGGGGAGCTTTGTGTGCCTCCCCAACACTGATGAAGACTAGCTCCTCCAATCAGAAACTCTGGAACACAAAATTAAACAAGTTTGAAGAGCTTTAGAAAGAAGGGAGCTAGCACCAGAAAGGAGGCTGCTGGAGTTCTGATGGGTTTCAGTAAAACCTCTGAGATAACAGAAAGAGTGAGATTTTTTCTAAGACCTGAGAGGGACTGCATGGGAGAACTGTAAAATGATCAAACTGATATATTAAAAAAAATAATCTCAAATCATTAAACTAAATAGGTCTCTTAAAATTTCTAGATGCAAGAATAATTATAGTAAAAATATCATTTATTATAAACAAATACATAATATGTCTTCCTAGTTGCTGTTAAGAATCTGATTTCAAATGAGACCACTACTTTCACCAAATAGATGGACAATTGCACACACGCAGATATATAGGGTCATCTAGTTCTTAATATTACCTTTATCTTCAGCTAACCATCACAGAAAGATCCAATTTGTTGCCAGAGATAAAACAGGAGACAACCAACCTGTGCAAAGAAGCATCATCATTATCATTTAAGAAGATCAAACATCATTACTGATGGTAACCATGGTTTTAAGTTACTGTAGTCTTATGACTGGCCACCATGCTAGCAAACACTAAATTAGTTCCTCTTTACTGTGTCTCTGGACAAGTCAGAGTGAATTATTAAAAACCAAGATTCAGAACTGTTACCTAAACTTCCAGTTTTGTGCACATTTGAACAGCATGTTTCTTATATACTTTGAAATAGGTAACCATTTCTGAGCTCTGAAATCATTTGCATAATAAGCAAAATGTAATGCAGTGTTACAGTTATTAATGGTCCATGTTTTAAGCTATAATTGCATTTGTCTGAAACTCTTAATTAATGAACATATAATTAAAGATTAAAATAATGAACATGATAATTGGTAATGAATCTTTACCTACTTTGTCTGAGTTGAAGTGAGACTTCCACAATTTGCAATGAATGTAACAGCCTAACTACAATTGAATTAATTTATTATACTCCTTAAAGGATGTCCAGGCCCACTACATGAATCAAGATTCAGAAAAGTCATGCAACTTCAGAATGTCACTTTGGGAGCTGTATTGTAATTAGCAAAGAAAACGGAGAAATACGGCTCTAAAAATCTGCCTATGAGTTAGCAAAACAGCAACAGAAAAAATCATGTTATTCTGAAAGCTCAAAAATAGTTGATGCAGAGTGATAAATTAACCACTTTAGATAGTATTCATCAATGTTATGCAAAATAAACTTTGTCTAAGACCTTCAACCGCTATTTTGTTAATCCTGCTTAAAACAGTATTACAAAAAAAATTACTAATGAAAATAACAAGAGGACGAGGTCTCTTCTGACTTGAATTATCCTATGATCCCATCTGAGATTATAATACATATATACATACAATTTCTGCAACAAAATATCAGTAAACAATAAAGGTTTACTAAAAGACTCAGAAAGAAGGATAGCAATGGGTTATCTGTTCGAATTTTTAATAAATCCCTGCTTTGCAAATGAGAATAAAAAAACCAAAATCAGTCCCACAAAACCTGATAAGACAACATGGAAAAAAATATTAGTTTTCTGACACATGCACACTTCTACAACCCTAGATCATACAACATAGAATAAAATTCAGTCAAGAAATTTGCCTCTTTGATAGATGTGTACATTCAACAGTTTAACAAATATGCAGTGAGTCAAGACTTTATGTTAGAGAAACTGCAGTCCTGTGACTGTTTTTGGTTTTTCTAATCTTTACTCTCTTGGTCCACTGTGCTTTTTGCTCTTTAACATTTTACTGCAAGATTTTCCGTTACTCTGTCCCACCCCTACTTTCATTTTAAAACTATCTATGCTTTAATATTTCCCATTTTACATTCTTCCTTGTATACTGAAGACAAATAAAACTATAATAATGCTTTTTTTTTGCATACATCTATTACAGGATTTCCTGGGTTCATTAAACATACTGTGTTTCCACTGCTGAAAATAACAAGGATTAAGTAATGCACTTCAAGTTTTATTCCCATTTGGTTATGATGTTCCCAGTCTCTGGAAAAGAAGCTTACACAATGTAGATTTAAAGAACAATTGTCTATTTTCTGAACTTTTAAGTTTTCCTTTCTACAGAGTTGAGTATTTGCTTTGGTTTTAAAAGCTCTTCACAGAATTTTCAGAATGGTGCAGAAGTACATTGCTGTGAATTATTAGAAAAAGCTTTAGAAAACTCTTCAGTTATGGCCAGTCATGTCGTGATCACTTCTGCTGCTCATTCCAAGCATGATTCCTCTATGTACAAGTGAGACTGGCTGAAAATGCAGAAATATCCCTGAAATTTGAAGATTTATCTGTAAATTGACACCTGTGCAGCACTTGATCATTGAACTCTCTTTCACACCTTTTATATTTTTCTCTTAGTTCATCAGTCTGATTCTCTCTCACACTCATGAACAGATCTGCAAACATCTTCTGTGTCATTTCTATCAAGGCACTATCCAATTAATGAAATTTTTCTTTAGTTTTACAGGCATTATGAGCTTCTGACACCTCTCTGCCAAGTCTGACCTTTCTTGAATGCATCATGGGCAAGTACTGGAAGCAGAGAATGTGACTTTGTCCCTATATTAAAGCAAGGTACAATGCTTTCATGGACATCATTGCCTTAATGTAGCAATACTTAAAAATTCTAACAATTTTGCTCTTTGTCCCATATTCAAAGTTTTAATGTCAAAGTTTATGGGTGACTTGTACTATGCGACACATTACCTATAAGGCTGCAAATCATGTCTGTTCCTGGCCTGTCCTCCCATGACAATTTCCACCACTGCTTCCAAGCACGGTGCTCCTTGCTTCTTGTTAGCTATATCTTCCAGGCCAATTCATGAAAAATGTATTTTTCAACATATTTTTTAGAAACATATAATTGATTTTTATTTTATTCATATAACAAAACCAGACATACTTGCTTCTGAAGGGAGAGATGTCACCAGTGATGGGACTTACCCTGTCTTTTGAAATAGGTAGTAAGATATCAAACAGTATGCATGTCTCAGGGACCTGCTCTCTTTAGCAAGAGGTTTTTGGTAAGATGTTAAAAAAGTCCCCAAACACTACACGAATAAAAACTTCTATGTGCCCTTCTAGTGGAGCGATGATGTGCTCTATTGGCACATCTATGGATTACTCTGAGCCCAAAAAACAGTGCATTAATTTTGGGACTGATACATTGGTCTCCTATGCTTATACAGGTTCTGTGATATTGTCCCTCTTCAGTGAATACACAGAAGACTCAATTCTTCTGAACTTCATTCAAGCACCACTTGCGAGATTGTTTTCCATTAAAATTATATGTTAGGGAGAAGATGAGCTCTGTAATCAGTGCTTCTATGTGATACTGACTTTATACCGGGCCTCTTTCTTCATCACAACATACACAAATCACAGCAGTTTCTTAAAAAATTGAAAACAAGTTTAAAAAAAAGGCAACTTAACAGGTTCTGACCCCCTTCCTTCAGGAACCTGTGCCTTTGCCACAGGTCAGCTCTGGGGTGGCCCAGGAGTGGAACCTGAGACCCACTGAGAGTTTTGCTGTATGAAAGAAAAGCAGGAGCAGCTCTGTGGGCTGGGGATGATTCTAATGATTGTCATTGGACTTGCTCTGAAATTCTTGTTCAGATACTGTAGTTTTGTCCCTCTGTCCTAAAAGGACACTGCCTCTACCTGCCTTGCTGGCAAGCTGTCTTCCCTTGCAAAGCATCCTACTCTTGTGTCTCCATATACCAGCTTTTTCCAGTGGTGCTGACTCAGAAACATTTATCATTTCGGGCCAGAAAACCTTTTAAGTAAGCAGAAGAGGAGGCATGCATCGTCAATTAAGCTCTAAATTTGTTTTTCTGGGGAAGAATATTGGTTTTTAAAAAAGACCTCTTCAAAGCTTTTCCATTATACTTGATGATTCAGCTCAGGAGCACTGAGTAATGCACACTATATTGTGCATCTCAGAAGCTGTTTAGAAACAGATTGCATATATGAAATATGTGGATTTTATTCCACCTGTATTGATATAATTGCCTCTGGCCCATTGATTTAATTTTAAAAATCCATTAGAATTGACTTTATAGTTATATAAGCCATGAATACAGAAGAATATCTACCTTAATTTGTTTACTTATGAAAGTGATGCTATTGGTATTGGTATTGCTATTGATGATCATCAAGCTATCAGTATTATGAAATATCAGAATCAGCACATTCACTTAAACAACTAGAGAGCTGTCTGTATGATTCCTTTTACAAGAAAATGACACGTGAAGATGAGTTTAAAAAGTGTTTTTTACTTCACTTGCCTAGAGCAACACCTTTGGTTGTTTATCTTGCATAACCTATTTCCACACGTAATTGCACAATTTCCATAAAGTCAATGACAATTATTAGCATCGAAATATGTCACTGTACACTAACCCAAAGGAAAATGGAGCAATACCTGAAGTGCTGAGTTATATTCTCTGATGTTACATATAACTATGTAACAGGCAGTTTGATAGGACTCACAGAACACCTATTCATTTAACTTCTATTTGTGACAAGATACTTTTGACAGACTATAACAAATTTCTGCAATGAAAGACCATACAGCATTATGGTCTGAGAGGGAGAGATCAGGGATATCCTCAGTATCATTAGGTGACTTGCACAATTAATACATGAAATGTGTTCTATTTTATTAATAATTTTTTGTGCCCTCACACCATCACTAGTGTCACAATACAAGCATAAATTGCCTCATTTTGCATGCATACTTCAGAATTAGCTTAAATCAGTTTGTGAAACTGAACTAAGGAGTGATTTGAAGGTCTCTTGACAAGGGCTAATGATAAATGGTAATGCACTCAGTTTTGAGAAGCTGAAAGGGAGTATATTTCCAGTATTCATGTTAAATTTAGTTTTGACATCTTCATTTACATTCTGCAAAGGGGAATAGAAAACATGTTAATGAAACTGTCACATAAACTGGGAAATGTTGCAATAAAGACAGAGAAACAGCACAAAGAGAAAAAAGGATTTGAAACAGAAAATAAAACGTGTTCAGAAATTTGTAGACCAGAACAAATAGGAATTTAATATTCCCTTCAGTGCATCCAAGGGAAACTTCAGCAGAAGAAAACAAAAAACACCAATTGCCAAGAGAGCTTTAGATACTGAGTTATATAATACTAATGATGATTGATTTTTTTTTTTCTTATAGAAATACGGAAACATCTATTCATCTGTGGCCATTCATCACTGTGTGTTTGAATCACCTTATCTGTCCTCACACAGCAGGAAAACAATATTTTTGTCTTAGAGTCATCATTAAATGTGACCAATTTCTCAAACATATTGTTATATCCAAGAAAGACATTGACATAGTAAATTGTGATGATTGACTGATGAGGAATACTAAAATAATCAAAGGTCTTTGGTTTAGGTAATTAGTTTTATGGGAGGTCATCAGAGAAGTCTGAAAATGTCCACTGAGGAATTTTAAGGAAGAAGGATGTTCCAGTTTCTGCAAGTAGGCAAACACAACAGGGAGTAAAAACAACAAAATTGTGAAAAAGAAAATTCAGAACCAACACTTCTTTCCAAAAGTGAGGACTATTGAACTTTGGGAATTGTCTCTCAATGAAAAGTAATGAAGTTTCCATTACTCTGGCCAACTTGCATTAGTCGAGCCAGTCCAATTTTACAATGGGGAATAATTCCAATGGCAGGGAGATGGACTAGATGACTCTAAACACTTTTTCTATCCCTAGTTTTTACAGCACAAAGGATATAATCTTGAAATACAAATTGCAATGGGAAATGTGTTCTTCCTAATGGTTACAGATAAAGGCAATTTTCAGACAACATCCTCTCCCTTTTGTGTCCCTGCTCTAAATGCACATTATCACATAGGTTTTTAAGATAAACTAGTAACATACACTTTAAAGGAAAAAATAATACGTGGAAAAGAGCACTAAAAAGAATCAAATTGTGCCTAAAACTACAAAATAATTTTGCATTGGCAAAACCAACATATTTTTTTCATTTAAAACAGTTATAGACGGTGCAAGTGAAAATTACATATATCCCATGCAAATTCATGGGAGTATAAAGAAAACAAAAGAAGCAGGAAAAAAAAAAGAAGAAAAAAGAAAAAAAATAATGCACTCAATCATAAATTTAATTTGGTTAGTGATACAATACACCTAAAATCTCTATATTTTGAAGTTTTTAATTCAACTTTTTTTTTCACTAGCAAATATTACACCATACTTGGAGAGCATTGAATACATTTTGGGTTGTGAGGAGATAAAGACATTTATTTCACTTTTGCAAAGCCGTGTTTCTTTCTTTCTTTCAAATGCACAACAGACTCGCTGCAACACAGGGCAATGAGAAAGGTACATTGCTTTTAAGTCTGGGACTGAAAATAGTGACTATATTTTGTTACTAGGAACCACGTTGAGGGCACATTAGCTCACAAATAATCTGCAGCGAAATCCAGTAGGTTTTTCTACTTTGATGCACCTTTTGTATCCTTATGCTTGCCTGCATATATATATATGTATAAAGTGCACATATGTGTGTATGAATAATAATTCAACCAAAATATGTAGAAAATGTATTTAATTACACATAATAAATGTGTATGTCATATATATGGCTGAAATCTACTAATAGTTCAACACAAATCTAACTATTTTGGTATCACTGTATATTAATGCAGAATCTCTGCCAATATTATCACCAATTTCCATAATAAATTCCATTATTTTCATTAGCTCAGTTATTGAAGAATAGGCTTGGAAATATGATTGCACATGCAAAACCATGACAGCAAAGGCATCCAGATAGAAAGCATTCCATATGATGGGTCTTAGCATATCAAACCCGTTCCTCAGCCATGTTTTATGATCTGTTCCAAAAAAATTTCTTGTTTTTTGAGCTTGTGGAAAAGGGGGGCTCACATGCAAGTCTAGGTGCAAATGCTGGTTTTATATTTAAGTAGTGCAATAAAGAAGTAAGATTTGGCATAACTCCTTTAAGCTCCAACAGTCAAGAGGTACATCAACATGTGGCAAGTACAGCCATATTCCCATTAAAATATGGATTTATGACCGTTCACTTTGGCTATGATGATAAATATGGAAAAAATTCTCAAATGTAAAGAAGCTACTCAGCTTGCAGAAGGTGACAATGCGTTTTGTACTCTCAGTGGCTGTTTAACAAGTTATTCTTTTATCTGAAGCAGACAAAAGGATATCAGGTCAATGAAAGAACGATAAATAAGGAACAATTAATCCACCTTAATGCAAAAGGTTTAACTTGCAGCCTTTTCAAGTTCCTTTATCTTTTAAGCTTTTCTGAAGCTTCACCAGATTTTCCATCCATATAAGGATATGATTCAGCTTACTGCTCTTACCATCAGTTTCTTGATCCCTCTTGGACTAATCTTTGGAAAATGCCTGCTGACATTATCGAATAGAATGTGTGACATTGAAGAGATAAACAGAAAAAAGTAATAGTGGCTAAACTAATTAAAAAAATTGGAGGCACACCCCCTGTTAAAACCGTGTTAAGAAAAAAATTGATGAGGCAATGAGAAAACCACAGACCACCATGCACGGTGTCATTGTTACTTCTAGACAGCTTGAGTCATAAGTTATTAAAATGTCTGTAGCTATCCTTTATGACTGTAATGAAACAGAAACATGCTGCAGTAGGTAGCTTCTGGCACAAATTCTCTGTTCAGAACACCTATAAATCTACATGGTGCTTACCATGCTTCACTCATGCATAAGGATGCAGAGGCCTAACAAATAAGTTAAAAGAGCCTTACAGAAAGCATTTCCATCTTCAGGACTATGCAATATTTATTTATTATTATTTATGAAGACTACAATGTAAGCCATTATGAAAAAGACAAGTAGATTATTTTTGCTACAGGCACAATGTGCAAAAGCATCTCAAGTTCTTCAGCTTGCCAAGGTGTAATCTATTTGCCAAGTATATGATCCATTTATACATAAGAAAGCAAGTACTTCATCATTACCCAAGTCTCACTAGGCTATCTACAAAATTATGGTTTTGTAACAGATTTGTCTAAAAACACACAAATACTATCAGAATTAATAATTCCAAACTGACCAAATCCAGGAATATTAACTTGGATTCACTGTGGTGAAGATGATTGATCACAATTTTTGCTGTATTAATCTTGAGTGATCAGAGACAAATTTTAGCAACAATACAGAATATATACAACTGCCCGAGTTCCATTTTAATTTGTAGTCTCCTGTTTTAGAGAAAAGATTTCTGTTAGCTAATACAGGTCTAGAAAAAGTAGCCCCTTATTGTGCAGACAATGAACTACAGCAGTTAAAAACTAAGTCTTTGTACACAAGACTGTATTAATCATATTTAAATATTTTCTTTTTATTTTTTCTTGTAGACATATTCTGTAAAAACAGCTTTCTGTAATGATTTGAAATTGACTGGTCTGTAGAGATCATGCACTGGTGGAGTTCGCAGTCCTGAGGGATATGGGTCAGGCAAAGAGTAAAGTCAGGACCCTGAATTTTGGGAAAAAAAACTTCCAGCTCTTCAAGGAGTTATTCAATAGACTAATAGGTAAACTGCCCTCAGAGACAAGGGAGAAGAACAAAATTTTAAGGATGTTTTCTATGGAGCACTAGCAATCCCAAGATGTAATGAATCGGGAAAGGAAGGCAAGAGACCTTGCATGACTGAGTGAAGACTTGTTGTTAAAAAACTAAAAGGCAAGAAGGAAATGCACAAGCAGTGGAGGCAGGCACAGGCATCCTGGGAAGTCTGTAAGGATTCTATCCAGTTTTGTAGGGATGAGGTCAGTAAGGCCAAGGCATGAATGGAGCTGAATTTGACAAGGAATGCAAAGAATACTAAAGGCTTCTACAGGTATGTCAGGAATAAAAAGGAAGACTAAAGGAAGTGTACCCTCCTTGATAAACAAGTTTGGCAAACTAGTTACAGCTAGGCTTCGCGAACGAAGATTTGGGAAGGCTCTATCCACATTTGTTACAGGCAGACTAGTGGCTAATGAGGCCAATACGAGATAGACATATCCAATCACAAAAGGCACAGCAGAAAGACTCCTTAGATGGTGTATTCTGCAATACACGGTTCTTTCTGTGTTGCCTTTTCTCCTCGAGAGTGATCCTGCATGTGTTCTCAAAGGAGACAGCTGCGTTATAGATGGTGTGTCTCCAGGCCTCCCAATTTGAGGCCAGAGTAGACCAGTTATGTTGATCAATATGGCCAGGGCTGAGATGTTGTTTCAGAGAGTCCTTGTATCTTTTCTTCGGGGCTCCTTTCACGCGGCAGCCAGTGGCAAGTTCACCATAAAGCAAGATCTTAGGGAGGCGGTGGTCCTTCATCCTGGAGACATGCCCTGCCCAGCGCAGCTGTGTTCTCATCAACATGGCCTCTATACTTGTGACTGCTGCTTGCTCTAGAACAGATGTATTGGTCACAAAATCTGACCAGTGGATGTTTAGGATTGTTCGGAGGCAGCACTGATGGAAGCGTTCTAGGAGACACAGGTGGTGGCAGTAGATGACCCATGATTCGGAACCATTGGCAAACTAGTAACAAGAGACAAAAAGGCTGAGGTACTCTGCAATGGTTTTGCCTAATTTTTCACTGACAACCTCTCTTCCCACAACCCTCGGGTGGAGGAGAAAATTTTCTCCCTCTGTGAGAGAAGATCAGGTTTGTGAGCACCTGAGGAACCTGAATATATATAAAGATATTGGACCAGATGAGGTGCATCACAGAATCCTGAAGGAATTGGAAACTCCCCATGACATTTGAAAAGTCATGGCAGTCAGATGAATGTGACCTGCCAGCCTCACCTCTGTGCCTGGGAAGATCATAGGACAGATCCTCCTGGAAGCTTTGCTAAGGCACATGGAGGATGAGGAGGTAATTCAAGACAACCTGCATGGTTTCACCAAGAGACAGTCCTGCCTGACCTACCTATCTACGTTGGTGGACAAGGGAAAAGCTACAGATGTCGTCAACCATTCTGATTGTATTCTAATTTTCATGGGATTTCCATCAGCTTCGTCAAATGAGAAAGATGTGACATGTTCTTCCAGGTCCAGACCATGGAGCTGCAGAACTTAATGAATATAGATATGAAACTTAAAGCCCTTTAACCTAGCTTAGATAAACCAGTCTACTTTTATCGTAAGGGAACAATACTGAGGATCAAAGCTGCAATGCACAGTGTGGATCTGCTTCTCTTCTTCATTAACACTAATTCAGTCTGGAGTTCCTGCCAATTCCTCTTTGAACTCTTACCTTTACTATGATGTCTGCCGACAGGAGTCAGAACAGAGGCAAGAGCAGATCTGCCGGAGTTTCTTTCAGCATGAAAAGCCACCCTTAATTTTATTTACTGTAATTTCAAAGGCACAATTTAACATTCTAGAGGTTAGCACAATGCATCTATACAGAACCTTCATTCAAAGTTGTCATATTATAGTGATAATATTCCTAACCTATAATTAATAAAATGACAATCACTCAGCAGTATGCTAGCTGATATTTTCTCTTGCATATATATTTCTTGCTTGCTCTCTACTTTATAGAGCTTACTTGGAACTACCCTTTCATTAGCAATTTTTCTCTGATTTTGCATATGATTGTAGTCAAGCTAGTAGAAAAATGTAATTTAGAAAAAAATCTTGGTAAATATTCAGTGGAGGAAGATATGATCACTGTCAGTAGAATCAATTCATATCTATAAAATATCTAATGTAATTTTCATTTAATTTGAATTTTCTATTATTTTTAAGTTGCAAATAAAAATCTCAGTGCATTTAAAAAATAATTTTGAAATTACAGTGTAACATTTTCATTAAAAAGTCTGGGTTTTCTTTTCTGCCTGAAATGGATTTTG